GACAGAGAAAAGGGAAAGGGGACATTGAGTTATAGTTTGGTATGACAAAAAAAATTCTGGAAATGAATAATGGTGTTGATTGCACAAAAATGTGTATGTACTTTTTGCCACTGAAGTATGATACTTAAAAATGGTAAAAATTATGCTATGGTTTCAATGTGCCCCTTTCAAGATTTGGGTGTTAAAACTTAATGGCCAATGTTAGTTTTAAGAGGCAGAGTCTTTAAGAGGTGATTAGCCCATGAGGGTTCCTCCATATGAATGGAATTAAGGACCTTATAAAAAAAAAAAAAACTTGCACTAGTGTTGGGCTATCTTGTTCTTCCTCCTTCTGTCATGTGAGGCCACCATGTTGCTCCCTCCAGAGAATGTGCCATCTTGGAAGTCTGCCATCTTGGAAGTCCGCCATCTTGGAAGTAAGGAGCAGCCCTCACTACACTCTGAATCTGCCTGCACCTTAACCTTGGCCTCCCCAGAACTGTGGGAAATACTTTTCTCTTTATAAATTACCCAATCTATAGCATTTTGCTGTAGCAGCATAAACAGACTGAGACAAATGTCAAGCTTATTTTGCCAAAAACAAACAAAAGGAGAGAAGTTTCAGTTACTACAAAAACATGAAGGAGACTTGTAAAGAAGGGACTTAACTAGAAACTCTCATCCTTCATCTTCTTCTTCCTGAATGAGGGGAGAAGTAGGTGGCAGGCTCACATCAGAGGGCCAGAAGAGCCACCACCAGGCAACAGTGGCCTGCAGGCTTCTGAGAGAAAAGGCCAATTCCTCCTATACCCACAAAGAAAAGGTGGGACAAAGGACATGGACAAGGAAGGGCAGATGGCACAGGCCTGATCCACAGATGGCTCTTCAGGGACACTTCCACAAGTGTCATCAATTCCTGGCAATTGAGGAGTTCCCAAAGGTGGGTTTCCTCCCCACCACAAACTCACAGATGCCTCAGGACTTCCTGGAGTTTTAAAATAAGAATTCTTTCTACTTCAGAAACAATTTTCGGAGAACACATCCTTTGGTAATGAATGCCCTCCATGTCTCCATAGTATTAAGGATGTCAGTCCTCAGACAGGTCAAGGGCTCAGTAGCCCTCCGCATCATGGCTTATGTGCGTCAGACAGCTTTGCTTTGACAGAAGCCCAGCCAAGCTCCAAAGTCATCTCTGAGCTACTACAATCACTTTCTACTCATTTTTTCTGTTCCCAAAGCCCTCCGACTCATGCAGATGACACAGCTGCCTTTGTGACTGCTCACTCTAGAGGAAGAGGGTGGTTGGAGACCACTTCCTCTAAGGAGCCTTGGCTCACTTACCTCCCATGTGTCCTCTCGAATCCTCCCGTGTGTCTGCTCTGCTTCCCTAAAGAGTAAGCAGCTTGCAGCAAGAACCGTGTCTCAAGTTCTCACCAGTGCTCCAGATAGCCCCTGGCATTCGTTCAGCCTAGGTGGCAGACTGCACCTTCCACAGGGGCCACTGGGACCTCCTGCCTCACATGCTCCAAAGTCATCAGCTCCCTTAGCTAAGAGGAAAGGTCTCCACTTCCTCTCTTAGAATACAGGGCAGTGGGGGGCAGGGGCTACAGCTCCAATCAATGCAATAAGGTGATGCTTTGTGACTTCTCAGACTGGGTCACAGAAAGGAGGTAGCTTCCACCTGCCCCTCTCTCTTTCTGGGACACTCAGAGACAGTCAACCACTGTGCCGTGAGGAAGCCAGGCCAGCCCATGCGGAGAGCAGCAGAGACTCAGCCACAGCCAGCGTCTCCCACGGGGCATGTGAGTGAACCAGACTTTGGATAACGGGGTTCTCCGCCCTCCAGCCTCCAGCAGAGGCTCCAGACTGTGAGGCGGGGTGAGCCACCTCTAGGGTGCATCAGACCTTGGGCCACAGAGCACGTGAGCATGACACAAGCTTAGTGACCAGGCAGTCACAGCGACAGGAGCAGGCTCCGTGACTTTAGCCACAAGAGGAGCAATTCCAAAGCCCTAAGCTCTCTGAAAAATGGCTTGTCAGCTGTCACCAGGTCCTTCACTATAAGGCGGAGGCTTGACATGGTGGGCCTCGGGGCCACTGTCCTCCTATACCTGCCGCTAAGATGGCCAACACTTTCAGAGTCATACCAACTGCACTCAGGCCTTCTGGGAGCCTGACACAGCCTCAGAGCTTTTTCTATAATATACACTTTCCTCCACAGCCCCCAGGATAGGTACATCCAGGTAGGAAGTAAGAGAGGATCAGAGAGGGTAGGGAATTTGCCCAAGACAAACTGGAGAGCAGATTGCAGAGCCTAAGATGAGAGAGACAGGTGACTGTCCGAAACCACTCAGCTGGTGAGAGGCAGAGCGCACGGGGCGAACCCGGATGCTGCTGACCCTCTTGACAGCCAGTGGCTATGGGCCAACTGATTTCTTGACAGAGTGTCATGAAGGAAATGCCTCAAACCAGGGAGGTTGATGCACACACCAGGGACCAACCTGAGGACTCAGAATTGAAATTTCCCTCCATGTTCCCAAGTCTAAAGTCTGAAGCAACATCAGGACCCCAAGGTTGGGCAGGGAAGTGCCCACAGGGCCCTGAGGGCTGTACACCTTCCCCTGCTCACAAGAGCCGACTCTTGGCTCCTGCAGGCCACAGCTCACAATGTCCACTTCTCTGCGCAGCCTTCTGACCACTGTCTCCCCACCACATTTCTCAATGAGGTCATGCTGCTCTGGGGAAAGAGGAACCAAAGCAGAAGGTCCATGACAACTTGGCACCCCCGGGCAGCATGCTCCTTCCAGAGCTCAGCAGCACCTCCAGCCCCAGGAGGAGGCAGAGCCAGCCATGCCCAGTGGAGGGCAAGAAGGCAGTTTCCCTTCCGAGGGAAGATCAGGTTCAGCCCAGGCAGGCGTCTCCACCACACACAGGGAGCTGGTGGCAACATGAACGACTTCAGGCCTCCCCTCTGGGTTCTGGAGGGAAGACAAATCTCTGCCATCGGCCTAGTCGTGACAAGAGCAGGGACAAAGGCCCCAGGCAGCCTGCCCCTCTCCAGCTTTGCCCTGCTCTTCCATCTTACCCAATCCTAAACCGCAGGGACCAAAGACCTTCAGCCTGGCAAAGTGCTAACGAGAAGGCTTTATTCTCAACCCACCTATAGACTGAGTTTCCACACAGCCATGACTCTCCACAGAGCCACAGGAAAGCAACCCTAGGCATCTCGGGAAGGAGCCCTGTCTCGAGCGCCATCTTGGCTTTCTTAGAGGAGGGGCACCTTTGGCTCCTGCCTTGAAACGGGCTGCTCCCTTCCTTGACCTGCAGGACGCATGTAACAGAGAAAAACCGAGCCCAAGAAAAATCAGCCTCTCCTGCCCTCTTCCTCTCCCCACCCCCTCACCTTTCTCATTCTGGAGCAGTCCACATTTAGAACACTCTAGAAAAAGAGCCTCTTGACAGTTGCTGAGAGAACACTTCCAACCCCTCGCCCCAGAATGACACACCAGGTATCCCATCAGCTTTGGGGTCCAGCGTCCACGCCATATTTGCTCAGGCACCTCCTCCCCGCAGCAGCCTGGCTATGTGACAGGGAATGGCAGGCCTCTGCAGGATAATGTGCTCCCACAGGTGCAGGGATCGTGCACACAGCAGACCTAGAAACACAGGTAACTGAGGGCGCTGGACACACTACCCTAAGAGGTGGCACCTTGGTGTGTTGGAGAAAATAACAGAAGAGGAAGGTCGCTCTCACGTTCCTACCCTTCCCCTGAAGCAGGTGGTAAAGCTGTCTTGGATGGGGCCCTGCTAGCACCTGGCAGAGCATCTGGATGTCTGAAGACACAGGAACAGGGAAGAAAGTGAGCAAACAGGAAGCCAAGGTGCCCTGTTATTACCATCAGATCACACCCACTTTCCAACGTTGTCCCCACTTCCTTATGAAGGCTCCTGTGTCATCCATTAAGTAACCTGGTAGGCCCCCTCCCATTACCTGTCTGCCATTGTGTGGCTCAGCCATGAACCTAGTGATGGGTAGGGGAAGACATTTCTTTACCCCTGCACAATCATGAGCTTCTCTGAGGCAACTTCTTCCTCAGGCCCTGGAAATGTCTGACATGAACAATTTTCCTCCCACTCACTCATCCCAGGAGTCCAAGGCCTCACCGGCCCTCTGCCTTCTCATATCTGCACAGAGCCTGAGTCTGTCTCTCTGGGTCTCAGTGATTGTCTGATTCCACATTTAAATTGAAACCATGCATACAGTTTGTTACAGGCATTTTAGGAGGTGAACTTGTAACCCTCTGGGTTGTTTGTGCAGAGTTTGTGACAATGTCCCTGAGCCCCAAGCCTTTACCCAAAGGTGGTACTTGGGAAGGCCATGAGCACAGTTTGTCAACACTGCCTGTCGCCCTTCATTGGGGTTGGCTCTTACTTTAATTCAGTGTATAATACATGATGATGCCTGCAAACAGAAAAAGGTTCATTCTAGAATGCCCATTTGTGGTAGGAGACTGCATTGGTAGTACAAGAAACAAGCATTTTCATAAACTTGATGCAGTTGAGACCAAAGTAGAAATCCTGCAGCAAGATGAAAATGGAGGCTTTTTGCCACTGCCACACGTGGCAAGACAAGAGGAAGAGGCCCCGTGGGGACGGGGACGGGGCTCTCCTGGCCTGGCCTGGCCTAGCCTCACACGCAGGGCACCTCTGATTTTGGTTATTACTCTTAGGCAGGTGACATTACCCAGAAACCACTTCTGTGTCTCTGCTGTGGAGCTTCCCATTTTTGTGTTTTAACAGAAATGTTCTACCTACCACCAGTTTTGCATAGAGTCCTTATTCTTCTGAATAGCAATTTGCTCTTACCAATTAAGCAGCTAGGACAATTTCATCGGTGCCATTAACATCATGGAAGAGCAGCCACCAAAAATAAACTCATAAACCCTAGGACTGGAACAAATTAAAAGCTCCAAACTCATAAGCACATTTCTTTAAAAATAAATAAATAAATAAAGCTTTACCTGTGGCTATAGCGAATGGCTATGGTCAACCCAAGCTGTAATGAAGAAGAGAAAGAAGCATAAATTAGTTAATATCAAGGACCTGTTGATTCACAAGAAAATTAACTTAATACAGTCAAATATTTCTTAAACGATTCCTAAATTGCTCTGTTGCTAATACTTCATAAATAGCACATTTAATGATAGATCTTTAGTTTTGACTTTGCTTTTAAGGGATCATTGTGTTTTGAAAAGGTCTTAAAGAAGCCTAAAATATTTCCTTATGGGTTAAACAAAAGGTGTCCTTCATCAGGAAAGACTTCCCGAATGGGGCTCTTTCAGCTCTGCGTCAGCAGTGGAAGGACTGGAGGCAGCCTGTGGCTAACTGCAAGGTTCACATTGGGACAGCAAAGCCACAGGGGACCCCTCACTGCCTCCTAGCCCCAGCAACATCAGTGGGGTCCAGGCCACCAAGGAGATGGGCCCCCTGGGAAAGGTCCAACTCAAGACCCAGCCCTGGGCACAAAAAAAAAATCGAGCCTGAAATGCTAAGGTGACGTCAAGAGCCCATGCAGGCCACTGCAGAACACAGCAGCAACTGCAGGCTGAGGTGAAGCTGTGACTTCCTCTTTTCTCTGTAGGGAGGGTCATGGAAACCTCCTAAGCAAATGTGGGGGGTCAAATGCTAAAGCCTGGGCCACAGCTAGTTCACACAAGGTCGACGATAGATTCTGAGACTTTGAGCCTCAGTTTCCCCATCTGTACAATGATCAAATAATTAACTTCTCACAAGAAATGTAAGCATGAAGCAACTTTTCTGCATTGGTGTGTGTGTGTGTGTGTGTGTGTGTGCGCGCGCGCGCGCGCCAATCCCCAACAGATAAGGAAAACTCAAAAATATTTATTTAGCTATTGCTATTAGCACAATATATAGGCAAAACTTTAATTATGAAAATGTTTCAAAATTTAATTATTCCACTTGTTTTTAGAACTTTGAAAGTATTTCACCATGGAACAGGCGATCATCACTGCCCAACAAGCTTTATTCACATAGGAGCCTCACAGACCTGTCCAACTGTCGCACTAGGAACTTAAAGCTCACAGCAATTAAGAGCCCAAGGTTGTCTATAATATCATTTCTTTGCAAAAGGTCTAAGTTGCACCTTGAAATCCCCAAACATCATTTGTGGTGTTTTTGATATCCCCCATTGGGGGGGGGCATGTTTATGGCACTGGATGATGCAAGATGTCAGGCGGGACCCCAGGCAGGGGGCGGCTGGGACAGGCAGCGCAGAGAGAGGAGGAGGGAGAACAAAGTAAAGGTTGAGGTAAGAAAGTCCAACGCCATGGTCCAGTGGGACAAACGGCAGAGTCACCGGATGTTGTTGGGCTGGCTCAGCTCCATAAAGACTCCCCGAGTGTGATCACTGCAGGCACCCAAAACGCAAGCACCAACCAAGGTGAGCCACCGAGAACCAAGGAAATCGCGCTTAAGTTTACAAAAATGATGTGCAAAAGTGAAAGCCTGGAAGAACACATCTAGCTGATTTCATAGCACACTCGCCTGAATGTATTCCATTATCTATCTCAATTATGCAAGGAATCGGTTTTCTTTGAGATTTCAGCAAATAGAAGAGAAAGACGCCTCAGGGACTGAAGAAGAGGAGGAAATTACTTTGGGAAAGAAAGAAAAGCTGAAACTGAAGCCAGAGAGGTCAGGATGAGCAATTTGCAGATTTTACATGCTGCGTCACTTTACATTTCCTGGGGTTAGAAAGTTCTGGCTTACAGTTGGGCTAATTATAAGATAATTTTACTGACTGAATATTTTGATAAGCTTTGGAGTACAGTTTAATGGGTGGCTTTTCCACAGTTGAAAGATAAGCCAATGCTGGAGCAGGGAGAGGAAATGAGGGTGGGAGGGGAAGAATTAGAAAAGCAGAGAAAGTGATCCTGGGGCAGCTGAGCTGCGGAAAGGGGCTGGGAGGTAAGCCTTTGGCAAAGGTGAATTTCAATGAAGCGTTTTTATTCATCTTTTCCTGGCTTCTGAATCAAACGTATCTGATTTTATTGTTGCTTTTAAAAGAACGCCTTTATATGGACAGCACTGTGAATCATGGAAACTCCAGTGGACAGGGTCAGTTCACACCCAAGGCCAGACCAATCAAAGCCCCCTGAAGCCCTCGGTGTATGCAGGCCATGCTAGGGACCAGGACCGTGGGGCACAGGCAAAAGGCCCTGGGGCTACACTGGAAACAACTGGACGTGGACCGGAACAGGAGATTTCAATGGTCATTCTGGAAACGTGGCTGAAACCACACATAGAAAGCACTGATCCAACCAGGCAGCCCTGAAAAGGGTTGGAACAGTACAGGAAAGTTCTTGTGGGTCTCACTTTGAAATCACAGACCCAACAGGCTGATGAGGCAGTGCTGTCCTCTGAATGGTGAGAGGAGGAGCCTGAGCCTGCTGTCTCATTCCCACAGAGGAAGAGGGGAGGGGAGGTCTCTGAGCTCTGGACCTTGGCAAACCCAGGGGAAGGCAACTGCATGACCTGCTGAGAGAGGATCAGAGACGATGTTCCCGTAGCATTCAGAACAGCATCCGCCTCTCTGAGGCCCCTCACCCTGCTAAGATGCACCAGCAGCTCAGATATACCCTTAAGTCTCACGCACGGGCACACAGGCACATTCACACACGTGTGCAACATCTGCTTGTGCACACTCATGTGCAGGTGCACACTTACACATACACATCTTCCATACTTGAACATGTGCACACTGCTGTAGTTCATATGCACACACGTGCATGCATGTGCTTGCTCACATGGGCAGGTACCATCACACGGGCACACAGGTTCACACATACACACTCACAGGATGTGTATTTACTTGCTTATGCACGTGCCTCAATACTGTGGCATTCAGAGCCGCCCTTGCAGCCCCTCAGACAAAGGGAGGCCTCAGACAATTGACCCCTTTGTTGCTGGTCTCAGCAGGGACCCCGGAGAGGGGAGAGAGGCCGAGGTTGACCCCTGACCCCAACCCAGCCAGGCTGAGGCCCAGGGACAGGAGGTCAGTGGAGTTGCTGCCCTCCCTGGGGAAGCCCCCTCAGGACCTATACAAGTGTTGCCAGAACACACGTAACCAACAGCAACACTGAGTTCTTCTTTTTTAGATTTACACAATTTGTTAGTCACAAAATTAAATCACAGTTTAATGGCAAAGAAAGAGTAATTTAGCATTTCTCAAAATCTCCACCAGCTACAAAACCCCTTTTCCTGCTGCTTCAGGCTGAAAATGCTCCTTTTCTGGAACAGCTGGCCGAGGCAGCTGTTTTGTATCAAGTCGGAGGGTTTTCGTAAGGCCCAGGGAGCTCAGACAACAGGCAGCCCTTCCTGCATTAAAGGGTAATCTGAGAATAATTTGCCATAAAACACCCAGAAGTGCTCCAGCTGGGGCCAGATACTGAGAAAGCACCACGCAGACGATGCAGATCTTGTAAAATAATAATAATAATTTTTAGAAACACATTTTTGAAACATTATAAATTTTTCTTAAAGAAAGGAATGATTTAAAGGATCACAGAAAGCGGCCAGGAAATTCCCTTTCATGTCCATGGATGGCCACTGAGCACCTCTTCCACAACAACCGCTGGTCCCTGTGCAGCTGGGCACTGGCTGCATGCTCGAGATTCTCTCTCTCTCTCTCTTTCTCTCTCTGTTTACACACACACACACACTCACACACACACTCACACAGGCTGACCAGCCACCAGGTGAGAGGAGAGACTCCAGGAAGTGCAGGCCCCACAGTCACCCAGCTGCTAAGTGCAGCTCTGAGTCTAGAACTCCCCAGACCAGGGTGGCACACCAGGGCCCCAGGATCCATGCTGCAAGGGCTTCAGGACTGTGACCAGAGCCAGGTCCTTCCTCAGCCACCAACCAGCCACTCTCCTCTGGCACTCCCGGTTCTTCAAGAAATGCTAGCAACCAGGGGGATTATTACAAAAACTCCCACATTTTAAACTACTTTGAATGTTTTTCAAATACCATTTGAGCCAAACAAAACATGTCCGTGGGATTCAGCCAAGGGGGCCACCCGTCTGCAACCTTGCCGGGCGTCTCTGTGCAGCCATGCACCCCCCCTCACCCCCAGGGTGTTCAGAGCCTCGAACCTGAACTCACTCGCTGGTGACAAATCTGGAAAGAGCCATCCTGTTCCTTGTAGGGCTTTCCCCTTTCCTCCTTATGGGAGCTTTTTATACTTTTCTTTTCAAGGGTCTAAATATCACAATATCACAAAACAAACACAAGAAGGAATTTTGTTATTTATTTTTTTCTGCACTTCTCAAACTGCTTCTTCCCTGCCTTTTACAGAAAAGAAACATGAAGGGGAGGAGATGCAGAGCACACCCCAAACAGAGCCACCGAGTGAAAAGACACACAGACAGAGCGTGGCACGAAGAGAAGACGGCACTCACTGTGGCCATAGCGAGGACAGAGCCTCATGGGAGCAGAGCCACAGCGGGGACAGTCTCCCACGCAGATCCACAGATGAGCGGAGTCCCCCACTCAGAGCCACATGGCAGACAGAATCTGATACGGATAGAGACACTGTGCAGGGAGATTCCACACAGCCAGCACCCGGACATGTCAGCCTCCAGGTCAGGTGGGCAGGGAGAAAGAGCTCCACAGAGCAGAGGTCTTGAGCCCCTTCCTGCTGTCCTTGCTTCTCCCTCCTACTGAGCCAGGACACTCCATGCCACCAGCACAGCACCCTCCAGGGCGTCTTCCCCTCGCACCACCCCTCTGTGCCTGATTCGAAAGCCCCCTTATGCCCTCCAGAGCTCCCTAACCCTCAGCCTGGGGTCTTCCCAGGGCTTCCTTAGACTCTCGTGGCTTCCACTAATAAGCTAACTTGCTGAGCTAAGAGATGCTGGTGGCCAGCGCCCGGGAGCTGTGTGGTCAAGGCCCCTGACCTCCACTGCCTCTGCCTCCTCACTGTGGAATGAGCACGTCTCCCTCTCATGGGCTGATTCAGACAGATTAACTCAG